CCCGGCCAGCATCTCCTCCGGTGCCTCAGTGGGCCTCTTTCTGCGACAGAGGAAACGCGCGCTCTGCCAGAGCGCTGGCCAGGGCTTTGTGGGTGCGAAGGCCGAGGCCAGGCATGTCAGGGATGCCCCACCAGGAGGAGGGGCGGGCAAGACCCAGCAGGGTGCCCGGGCAGGCTAGAGGAGAGGGCGGGCCGCCCAGCCGGCCCCCCAGGCTTGCCCCAGACGTCTCATTCCCTGGGAGGCAAAGCCGGATCTCCTGCCTCCCCCTGTCCCCTCTTCCTCCTGCTGGCGGAGGAAGCTGGCTTGAGAGTGGGCATCTGGGGAGTGCTGGGCCGTGGAGACAGCCAGCGTGGGCAGGAGTTGGGCTTTCCTGCCTGGAAGCTGGGCGTTTGGTGGGGGTTTGATCTGACTCTCCGTGGGGGCCATAGGTGGGGCTGGGGGGAGCGGCCGGGCTGCCTGAGGGTTTCTTTTCCCGTGAGAAAGGCCTGGGCTGTGCCCCTCTCTCCCCCCACTCAGCCCCAGAGCTTTGCTGGAGCCAAGGAAGACCACTGGGGGGCAGGGACCGCCACGTGCAGGCCTTTCTTGGACCTTGGTGGGAAGCAGTCTCTGAGCGGGGTGGGGTGCGACTCGTGCAGGAGCGAATCCCACCCGGTCCGGGACCCTCAGCTCCGCCTGCAGGCCTGAGGAAGGCCGCCGCTGTCTTTCTCCTTCCTTCTTGGAAGCTGGTGTGGGCGTGGGTGTCAGGGTGCCGGTCTGAGAGGGCGGCTTTTCTTGCTGCACGCCAGATGCTGTTGTCCTGGCCGGGCCCCAGCCCCGTCCCCAGATGAGGCCCAGGCCAGGCAGCCCCTGGAAAGAGACGTGGCCGCTGTGGGATCCTCAGGGCAAGTTCTCCCTGCTCCTGGGCGCTCCCACTGATGCCCGAGTCGAAACGCACAAGGCAGTGCGACTTTGCCGTGGGGGCCGCGTGGGGGCCGCGCACCTGCCTCCCGCCCGCCTGCATCTGCGGCTTCTCCCTTCTAGAGGATCCAAAGGGAAAGACATCAGCACCATCAAGTCCCTGAGAGTCCTGCGTGTCCTTCGGCCCCTCAAGACGATCAAGCGGCTGCCCAAGCTCAAGGTTGGAGTCTGGAGTGGGGGCTTGGAGGACGCGCTGTGGATGTGTGTGCACGCGTGTGTGTGCACACGCTTGCAATACACGAGTGTGCGCGAGTCTTCTCAGACCGTGTACCCGTGTGAGGAGGACCGGCCACTCCGCTCTAAGCCCCCCCCCGAGTAGACCTTGTTCCAGAAGTCTCCTGTAAGGCTGCCCTTCCTCAGCCCAGCGGGACCAGAAGGCACGGGGGTGTCTCCAACAGCTGCAGGCCAGGGCGGAAAGGCAGCCGGGAGAGGAGAGGACTGTGGAGGGCTAGGAGGGCATGGCTCCGGCGGCTGCCGAGCCGGGTCCTGGAGGCCGGGCAGGGCGAGGACCTGGAGTGAGGGAGAGCAGAGACCCGACACCTGGAGTGGTGCTTGAGTCTCGTCTCGACCGAGCCCATGCCAGCACTGCACAGAAGGCCTCTGCTTTGACTCACTGGATCCCCAAGCTGTGCGCAGTAGGTCCCGTGACTCACAGCGTGGAAGTTCAGACCACAGAGGCATGAGGCAGCGTGGGAAGGGCAGAAGAACGTCTGCTGGAACCTGTGTGGGAAGGGGTGCCTGGCAGGTCATGCGGGAGGCTTCGCGGGGCCGGAGGACCTGCAGGGGTGCAGCGGCCAGAGGGCGAGGTGCACGGGGCGTCTCCAGTGCGCTGGGTGCGGCTGGCGAGATGGCGGTGGGTCTGCTGTGTGGTCGTAGCCGGAGCGGGTGTCTCCGCTCCGAAGCAGCACTGGGTGCACCGGGAACGCTGGGCTTGCGCTCAAGGAAGGCGGCGGAGGCGGAGTCCCCTTGAGGCCACAGAGCGCGCCAAAATGCGGTCCTGGAGCCGGGCAAGCACGCTGCTCTGTCC